ATGTGCTTATACATTGTTATTCCACCTGTTTTGTTTTCTCTCCCAGACACTGAGATTAATGAAAAAAAGGCAAGGCTGCATTTGTAGACACTGACTACACTGTTACTGAACACAGAACTAAACAATGAATGTCTGGGTCATTTAAAAAGTGGCCTGCATTCATGAGAAAAAGCATTTGGACAACACTTATGGACAACAGAGGGACAAACTGGATTCACTACATCATAGGCTTCCCAAGCAAAATGCTCCAGTTAAGGCAAAGTAAAGATATCCCACAACTGGCGAGGGAGCTTATTGTTTTTCAGCAGATTGCTGGTTCTGTAGCATATTAGGTATCATTAATGGATTAAATAACATTTATGAAACATGACCTGCTATTTCCAGAAACGAGTCTCTTAACTTTACCACAAATATTTCCTCTAAACTCTTTGATTTTCATTTAGTGTCTATCTAAAAGGCTAAAGACCCAGGCACTCCACTCAGTTGCACTGACATTATCTTTTAATTAGCAGAGGTCACTTAATGCTTTTAGTGCAATCAACAGTTGCTTTCTTTCCATGATCAACTACAAGAGCACCACAGTTAATGCAGACTGATTAAAACTTGAAAATCCTTTAGTGCAGAAGCATCTCAGGACAAATATAATCAAGCTACTGCCTGTAGATCATTTTCCTGGACAGCTTTGATTGCAGCACCACCAGGAAGAACAATCCAAGAGCTGAGGGTGCAAGGCCTCTCTTTGTCCCATGGTTATCTCCACCTGCATGTGTTGGACATCCATTGAGTGCTCCAAAACCTTGTCTCGCTAGGGGGAAACTAAAATTAGTGCTCACACGTGGTTGATAAATGATAAGTAAAGCTCACACTGGAGAGATTTACACCACTTGCTGCTTGGCACTGCAGCTGAAAGCACACATAAAAAATTAGGACCGACCTTATTATGTCTTCCAAATGTAAGTCAGACTCCCTCACATGAAGATGAAGCTGAGATCCTTGTCTGATTTCAGTGGAGAAAGGTCTCTTGGGTATTTGGTAGTGAGGAATTGGTCTGAAGTGAACAAGTTTTCTGGGATAGGGACCATGCTCAGTTCCAGAGAGTGGCAAATCTTCTATTTCAGTCACCTGCCCTGTTAAAGGACAGATTTTAAAAGCTAAAGGCAGACAGATTGAGCTATTGTCTCCAATATCTAATAATTTTGTTAATCCTTATTCTTTTTACCCATGCACAAAGAAAATTGTGCCAGGAAACCAATAGTAACCATTTATTTTTAATCCCAGCATTATATCTGCTACAGGGGTTGCAAAGTCAGTAAAATGAGAAGAACTCTTCCTATGCCAGTTATAAATTAATGAAGGTTTTTAATCTGGTAGCTTTTCATTGCTAGACAAGGAGCATATGTCAGAAGACATATCACAAACAACAAAACCAGGATGAACCAGACTAAAAAAAAAAAAAAAAAATACAGCATGCATGTCCATTTAAAAAACAATTACACAGAGCTCCCTTGGAATGGCCATATACATCCCCAGACCAGCTGCTTTCATCTCTCCTGCTGCATTTAGGTTATGAAAGGATTTAGTTTCCCAAGAAAAGAATTTGAGACACAAGGAAGGCAGGGCAATTTTAAATTAAACAGCATGACTATGGTAACATCTGCAATAGATTGGATGCCCTAAACACAGTGCAGGAGAGATCTGTCGTCTTATCTACGGTTTGGTAAATAATTTCTCCTACTTCAAGGGTCATTACATCTTCAGCTCTCTCTGTCATCTGTGATTCCACTGAGGGGCTGGAGAATAAAGTCTCTACAGGTGCTTGTGGTGCAAGTGAGCAGCTATAAATAACATCCTGGAGTTCTCTGTGCGGGGTGTAAAAACCTCATTCCCAGCCTGACGTGCCTTCATTAGGCACTGACTGCCAGCATCTCCCGACACTGCATTTGGCAGGTGGTCACTAAGCAGCAATATGAGCCATTAGGGAAAAGGTTTCTCTGTCCCCCCACATCCCCAAAGCTCCATAGGGCTCTCCAGAGAGAAATGGGGATTTGGGGTGGGAGGAAATCCTGCCAAGTGGTGTGTTCCCAAAAGGGTGATCCAGCACAAAAACCTCCCTCTCCAGTCCTAAAGCCTGAGCTCCTCAGGTGGGGGATGACAGAGTGTGGGGTGGCAGCAATCCCCACCATGGGGATGCTCTCCCACATCTCTCCCCAGCTGTCCCCAGGCATTGGCTGCAGCCAAGTGGAGCTCCCTGGGAGCCACCCAGAGCCACACACCAGGGCTCCAGTGCAGGCTGGGGTGAGCTGAAATAAACCCCTGAGTCTGCCTGGAGACTGCTTCCATCGCTGGGGGAGAGATTTAAGGCTGGGGCTGGGGCAGCAGCATCTCCCTGCTGGTCCCTGGAGAGACACAAGCTTGGTGCTGTACCAATAAAAAGAGGAGTCATGAAGAGCATAAAGGCTGTGCAGGGGTTCTCATAGCAGGGGTGCTGGTTTTGGAGAGTGCCAAAAATAGGTAAGTCGCCCTAATTAAAGAGAAGGGTGGGAAATCCCAACCAGATTTTGTGCACAAGGTATTAAAACTAAAAGAGCTGAGGAGAAGGTGAAGGGGCAGGCAGAGCTAGACACATAAGCGGTGCACAGAGACCTCATGGGACAAGGTTAGGACAGAAGTGACAGCTGGTCTGAAGAAATAGCATTTTAAGATCTAAAACTCTGTCAGGAAAATCCAACCCGTGCGGCCGATAGAGGAGTTCAATAAAAAATGGGCAGGCAGAGAAAGGACACAAGGTACATAAATACATGCTTATTCAATAAAGCAAGAAATGGAACAGCAAAATTGAGCAAACAAGGCTGCCTGGTGGTGGGAGACAGCCTGATTTATTTGCCTTGCTGAGACACAGCAGCGTGGAAAACACAGCAGGGAAACTGTGTTGTCTCGGTAGGAATTATTCAGCAAAGGAGGGTTAGGTCATGGCTAGAGCATCACAAAAAGCCTCTGCAAGCCAAGTTTCCACAGGAAGAAAAATCACACAGACAATGCATAATTGATGCATATGTACCAGGAGTGCTGAACGCTCTGGGGACGGGGAGGAAAATTATTTAAAAGAAAAAAAAAAAGTCAACAAATAGTTAATAATAAAGCAGGAGTGACTTCTAATTACCTGTACAGAGCTGCCTACAGCCTGTGCCACAGTGACAAGCTGTTTCTTAGCAACTCAGAGGCAGCTTTTGGAAGGGCTCCTTCCAAGGAGGGAAGCTCCCACCTTCTGGGGACCAAAGTTCAGCAGTGAACTCTGAGTGCACCATTAGGTTTTTGGGGCTGTGGTACATTGTAGGGATGTGTTTTACCTCCAGTAGGAGGAAAGAAAGCATAAAAAATAAAAGATCTGGGAATGTAAAGGAAGATACTGAGCTGATGGGTTTGGCATGAGGGATACCCAGGAGTTTCTGGCAGAGGAAGGGTGCAGCATCACCTGAATCAGCAGCACACAGAAATGTGCAGATTCTCAGGGCCAGATGGTTTCACCCAAAAGCTCTGCAAGGAGAGAGCAACAGAGCTGCTAGTGCAGAGATCCTTTCCCATTAACCCCCTTCTTTGAGAAATGCCCAAGACAAATCCATTTCCCGGCCACATTTTTTTTTTCCTTGCCAAAAAAATCTGATTATTTTGGGAAGTCAGCAAAAGTTACACGCATCTTGCTGAACAACACATTTCTACAGAGCAAAACTGCACTTTTCTACAAGCAAATCTGAAATTAATATAGGAAACTCAAAAAAAATCATATTATCTTTTAAATCATCTCAGGCACTGGCACAGGCAAGGACCTTTTGATTAGCCAAAATATCCAGGAGAGAGGGAATATTGCCATGGCTCAAGAACTGGTTAGGAGACAGTCATAGGTGGTTAATTTTTAAATGGATCAAAGACCTGAATCACCATTGATGTTTAATAAATTAATGAGATGGAAAAGTACACAAAGAATAAATGTCAGATAGCAGAGAGGAGCTAGGAAAATTGCAGGGGTTCAGGAAACCTGCATGAGCAGACATATAGAAAAATAAACACACTCAGAGCAGCCCTACTCCTCCATAAACGTGAGGATTTTAATTCACTGCTTCCAGTGATAATTAATAGTGAAAAAGAACAAAATTAATTGGAGCTGCTTACAACAGACCTGCCTGCACTTTTCTCTGTGCAGTGCTGGCTGGGAGAGTGGTGAGCAGAAGTGTCCCCATCACCAGTGCCACCAGACCCCTCCTCTCATGCAATCTCAGTGCCACTGAAGTCCCAGGAGGAACGAGTTCTGGGTGTCTGTGTGGGCAATGCCAGCCACCAGCCCTCACCTCAGACTGAAGGCAAAAGTCCAAAGGATAATGAAAAAATAACATCAAAAACAAGCATCTGGGGTCTGATTAACTCCAAGAGTAACAGAATATACTGAAGGTTAATTGACACTTGCCCCCAGAGGAGCGAAACTTGTGATTTCTTCTCAGTAATGAGGAAAAGGAAAATAAAAAAAGTAAATCATTTGGGTGTCAGGAATTTACAAGCAATGGAAAGATGTTCTGGGGGACAAAAATATGCTGCATGGAATGTGCTGTACTTACTTCACAACATGTCAGTGTCCAGCAAGACCTTGCCCATGGTGGGATTTGCACAAGGATCTACACAGGACCTGCAGTCACATTCCTTTTTATCCTCTTTCACCTAAATGTTCCAAGCACAACATTTGATATCAGGAAGTAATGCCCTGCACTGGTGCATTCAGGAGAAGCCCTTCTCACACAGCAGTGCATTGCAGTGCAAATATTCTCCTGAAAGACACTTTAATAAAGCACTCTATTAAAAAGAATCTGCCAGCAGAAGAATATTGACTGTGTAAATATGACATTGGAGAGCTGGGAGAAAGTAAATATGGGAACAAGCAAACACTGTTTTTTCAGGAGGGAGCAAACCCCCAAAGCCACAGAAATAAGCAAAATTGTTTATTATTTGTGAAACATGAGGTAAAAGTGTTTAGCCAAGCACTGAGTCAGTGAGATCTGGGATGTCCTCAGCCAAGTCCCTCCTGCTGAAAACAAGCTCCTGCCTTGCAGGGATTGTGCTTCCTCCTGCTGTCCCCAAAGTGACAGCAGCATCTTCAGCTGATGCCATCGCACAGAGCTAATGTTAAATGCTTTTAAATCTGATCAAACACTTTCAAATAAAATGGAACTTACATTAAATGGCCAGAAAGCTGTCTGTTCTGGTTTTTAGTCCTCGACTCTCTCCTGAGTTCCTGACTCAAAAAGAAAACATTGTGGCTATTAAGTAAGTAAAGCTTGATTTATCACACAGCATTTGAAAATGTTTTCTTTGAAGCATGCACTAACAGGTCAAATATTCCCAACTTTTTCTTTGGCTGGAATGTTAAAAACATGGAATAGATAATGTCCAGGGCATTTTTGTAACCAGGGCCGTAAGAAGGAGGTTTGGAACATTTATGTTCCTCTCAATTTACTTAACCTTTATTTCTTTTTTTCTTAAGGGAGGGTTGTAATACTCTGAACTGAACTATCTACCCACTTTTCTTTTGTTAGGGAAGGGCAGTGCTAGGAACACAACACCTCCAGAGCCACTGTTCCAATGCAGGCATTGCCCGTGGAATCCGGGGGGAATGACACATTTGGCAGCGCTTCAAACACCGCGCCCAGGGAGCAAACAGATTGCTGCAAGAATTCCAATCAAAGCCTCGCTCACACTTCACAATATACAGACTCGTTTTTCAGCTGCAAATGTTCCTGCTGACAGCGATCCAACTTTGTAATTAGTGACAAGACAGGGAATGCTTGGCACTCCAGGTGCACCCCCATCAAAGGGGTCCCCTGGCTCAGACACTTCTGCAGGGTGGGATGTGCTGCCCAAATGGATTTTCACGGAGTCCCAGGAGGGGAACTCCAGGTCCCAGCAGGAGCAAGGGTTCCACCACACCAAGAGTTGCAGTGTCCCATTCTCCCATCCTCCCTAAAGTGCCACTGAGCCACTTTTTCTCTCAGGGGAACTCTGGGGCCTCAGAACAGCACTTGTGGCATCACTTCGGCACGTCCTTGTGCTTTGCTGGAGCTGCAGCACTCGAGCTCTGGCTGCTCAGCTCCTTTCACTGCCCAGCCCCTCTCCCTGCGAGCCCTCTGCTCCTCCCCAGGCAGGGGAGCTGGGATGGGTGCAGGAGATGAGGGCTGGGGGATCAGCATCCCACCCTGCCCCTTCCCTTCCCTGCTGGAAAGCTGCTGACACGGATCCACAAATACCCGATAGCATTAAGGTACCAGGGAGGAGGGTGTTTTGTAAAGCAGAACGCAGGCTACTTAAATAATGAATTAAGAGGCATCAAAAATGCGTATGTAAAAGGACAGAGAGGGAAGGGCTGATAGTTTAGACTATGCTACACCACGATGAATAAATTATAAGAAAGACTGAATACTTTACTAAGTATAAAGACGTCTAGCAAAAGAAACCGCTCTTTTTATCTCCCACTGAATCCCAAATGAAGACAGAGCTGAGCGGGCTCAGCTGGTCCGTGAGGTTTTCTTTCCATGTACATTTTCATCTGGACTGAGGCATTTTTATTTAACGGCATCCACCCTGTCTTTAAGCCTTTCACACCAGAGACAGGCTTGCTTATTTTTCTGACGCTGCTGAAGTTCTCCCAGTCATAACAAACTAAGAACACCCAGGCAGTGTGACAGAGATGAAGTGATGGGTAGGAGGCACATTTCATTGTGCTATCAAGGCCTGGGCGCAGTAATTGGTGAGGAAACAATCGGGAGCTGTCAGCTGGGAGCACACGCCCTGCTGCTGACTGCTGTGCAGAGCCCTGCGTGGGTAATGAGTGATGGCCACTGTGGCCACCACTGCCCTCTTACTGTGCCAGGCTCCTCCCAGAGCCCTGACCAGCACAGCCATCCCTCCCTGTCCCTCACAGCCCCTCAGTCCCCTCCTGCCTGTCCCAGGGGCTGGGGCAGGTTCCTACACCCGACACGTGGACATGACAAGGATTTTAATTACCTGCAAGATGCTCAACAAATCAAATGCCAAACAGGCAGAGCTGCCCACACTTCGTGCACGTTCAGGGTCTGTCCATGATCCTCACCTGACACAGATCTGTGGAGAATGGCCGAAAGGTGATGAATTGTACCAGTCATTTACTGACCTTGTTGTCCATGGCAGCCTTCCTCTTCTCACAGGATCTGCCCACCAGACAGTTCTGAACTGGTGCTGGCCAGCATGGAGCTCTTTAGGTTAGACAAGACTTTTTACATCACTGAGTCCAACCATTAACCCAGCAGTGCATCAGTGAAAGCAAAATGAGAGTTTAGGTGTTTGCTCACAGCAAGCCCTGACTCAACCACCAAAGCTGATGATGGACACCTTGCTCCTGCATCACATCATCCTTATTTCAGTGCTCCCATCATATTACAAACCTCATCTGCTTTCCACCCTTCTTGCATGGCAACTCACACAATTCCATCCCTGTATTAACGTTTACAGCTTGTTTTGTTTTGCTCAGCTGCTGCAAGCTGTGGATCAGATGTCAGGCAGACAAATCATCTCCCCTGGCTTTAGCCAATGCAAAGGGATAATGCTGGACACCACAGCCCTCCCTGGACAGCCAGAGCCCTGTGTCAGCCCAAAGTTCCCAGAGCTGGAAAGAAAAGTCAACCAATCCCATCTCTAGTGACCAGTTGGGGATAAATTTGGAAAGGGAGCAATCTGCAAAGCTCAAATATTTTTTCTTTTAAAGCAACTGTCTTTGTGGTGGTTGCTTTTAAAAAATATACAGAATAACAACTCCATCATTTTTCAATATTTTCTTACTATTTTTCAAGTGCCTGTGGCTCATATTTTAACGACAGCAGGTGCATGTGCACACAACCACCCTTCCTAGTGAGCTGCACTGGAGAAGTGATGAGGTAGTGGGAGGTGCAGGATATATTGCATGGCTGGATGATGTGCTGCACAAGTGAAAATCAAGACTTTGCAGCAAAACAGGAACTGTATTAACTACTAAAAGGTGACAATCTGGCACAAACTGGTTTTAGAACAAAACATGAAGCAGGATTTTGTTACAAAAGATTACCTGAAAATTATTTTCCAACACTAACTAAGTTGCTTAAAGAAAAAATGAAGAAAAATATAGAAATATTATAGCATCTGAATCATCCTAGGCTAAAAGCTAAAATCTCCATGGATTAATTTTTTGCTCCTACAAACAGCAAGGAGGAAAAACAAAAACCCTGACTGCAGGAGCAGTTGCTTTGTCGTTGGTGAGCAGATTCTGAATGTGAAATGAGATTCCCTTTGAGCGTTGGGAAGGGCTCTAGTGACACCTACTGCACTCTGGTACAATAAATAGAGAAAGCTCTCCTGCCTTACCTGGAGCAGGGTGTCCCTGCAAGGCAAGGGGCATTTCCAGCCTGCAGAGACCCCCGAGGCGAGGCTGTCCCCTGCCAGCACTGCACCGGGGTGAGCTTCTGCAAGCAGCGAGGCACAAACACAAAAAAGCTGCATGGAATGTGCTGTACTTACTTCACAACACGTCAGTGTCTAGCAAGACCTTGCCCATGGTGGGATTTGCACGAGGATCTACGCAGGATCTGCAGTCACATTCCTTTTTATCCTCTTTCACCTAAATGTTCCAAGCTCAACGTTTGGTATCAGGAAGTAATGCACTGTGCATTACTGTATAGTAATGCACTGTACATTACGAGTGCCAGGGAGGGGTGGGCAGAGCCAGCAGATTTCAGCTTCTGAAATGGGGATGATCAGCGTGAAATCGTAGAGTCTGCAAGTCAGAAAGGAGTTTTTACACCGAGTCCAACCCTTACCCCAGCATTGCCAAGGCCACAACCAAACCACGTCCCCACACCTGCTTGAACCCCCAGGGATGGGGGACTCCATCATACCTGTTCAACACCTCCATCACTTCCCTGCACGGCCCCTTCCGACATTTGACAACTTTTGGTGAAAAAATTTCCCGAATATCCATTCTAATCCTCCACTGTCCCTGTTCCCCGGGAGCAGAGCCCGACCCTCCCCGGCTGTCCCCTCCTGTCAGGCCAGAGCCACAAGGGTTCCCCTGAGCCTCCTTTGCTCCAGGCTTTATCAGTGGTGATAGATTGGGTAAAATTTCTCTTTTTTTCTCTATGTTTTCTATACTGAGACTATTTCTATTCAACCGTGACTTTATTATCGGCTCAATCTAGAAAATAACTGATGCATTCTCAACTTTCTCTTTTAAAATCCTGGTTGAAACCGTCATCTTTTGTTCAGTTTTCAACAAACCCAACCCTCAAACACCCGGCAACCAAAATTAACATTCTTGACACTCTTTTGTTCCCAGGTGATGGGGGAGCTGAGCTCCAGACAATTGATTTCTCACCCACTACTCAAAAGCTCTATGCACTTTGTGTACTACATTAATAAGTACTTTTCTAAAGGCCAAAACAAGGTCTGATTTATATTAAAAAAAAAAAAACAAGTCAAAAGAACAATGCCACTTTATTCTCAGTAATAGTGCAATTTACCTTTTTATTCTACTTCTCCTCCTTTTTGATTTGCCATGGAATGATTGGAAAGGGAAGGGAAACCAAGAAAACATAAAGGAAATTAAGAGATAGCTTGTTGAGTTTTATTCACCTATCAAAAAGATAATAGCAATAACAAATACTTAATGCTATATCAAATATATTTATATATTATTTATTCTATTATATTTATATTTATTCTATTATATTATTATCTAATTACTATAAGTATACTATTATATTATTATACTATTATAATTATTATCTAATTATTCTATTTATTCTATTACATTTATATACTTATTTTTGTACTTTATCTATATTATATTTTTATATTATAAAAATATGTCAGTGTTCCAAGAGAGGACAGCAGCCAGTAAAAAAATTACACTTGTGAATAGGCTGTCAGCTCTACTCAACCCTGGCAACACCCCCTTCCATCCTGTCCTGCCCTTTCCTTCATCTCTCCAGCACAACTCCCAGGTCACCACCCAGTTTTCCAGCCCTGTCCCTTCTCCTCACAGCCCCCCTGGTCAGGGATTCTGCTTCCCTCTCCTGGCTCATACTCAAGGGAATTCAAGACCTTTCCTTTCCCCCTCCTGTCCCTCCCTGCAGTTTGTGACATGAATATTTTCACTCTCCTTGTTTTTGGCTCTGTCCCACAAGGTTCCCACACATTTCACTTGATTTATAACCACATTCCCAGAAGGCTCATGAGCTCCAGGCTTGAGAATGACTCTCTGCTCCTCTCTCATCCTCTGTGTGCATCTCCCCTCAAACACAAAATGCTGTTTTCAGCTGCACCATGGCACAGTTCAAACTGCAGGGTTTGGGTGAGGCAGCTGGACTGGGCTGGGATGAGCTGAGCCCTGGCACTGACCCAGGTGGGACCTGACCCATTCTGAGCAGGGCTTGGTCTGAAAAGCCAGGTGTCTGCTAAGGAAGGCAGGAGCCTCTCTTGAAATGCAAAATGTAAACCCCCTCCCTCCAAATTTGGTCCATTCACATATCAGGGGTTAATCCTCCACTTACAGTTTAAGGTAAAGAAGTCTTCTATCTTGACTTTACTCCTCCCCCAATCACTTTTCTTGGTGCTATTCAGGGCCTGAGGCTGAAGGGTGCCCTTGAGTTTCAGGCCTACAGGGATTGTTTTGTCTGACCAAAATGTGAAGACAGTTAACCAACACTTTATAAGGAGTTCAGAGCTATACACTAATGCAGTACAGGATTTGAAAAATATAAAATCTAAAATCCTAAGGCATCAGGAGCACCCTCCCACCCAGGCCTGCGGTGAAGACCTGAAATGCAAGAATGAGGAGAATTCATGACTGAGGAACAAAACCCAATCTTCTGTGGCCATTTTGGAGCCAAAGCCAGAGGGGATTCAATAGCAGTTCATTTATTTCAGGCAAAAAGCCCAATCCATGAGAAACGTGTGTTCAGGAGTGGAAGAGCTCAACTTAAGGCAAACACTGCAAATTGAAACAATTATTCAGTGTTGAAATCAAACATTTTACCCTTCTGAGCACATAAAAAGCTCTCAAGGAGAACGCTTTCTTCAGTTTTCTCCTTAAAAAAAATTTCAGGATTAAGAGATATACTAAAGCCTGAGTTATCTCATTAATGGTACTGGTAAGATTAACAGCAAGAATTAAACAGTTCCATTATTACTTAATGGCTTTTAAAAATGTATTGCCTTAATATTTATAATCAGACTCTTAAGATTAATAATGCTGATTTGCCACCTCCCCATCACAAACCATTTCTCACACTTACCAACTTCCACAGAACTCTCCAAAGAAAAAAACTGAAATTACATCTTGAAGAATTCTGAAGTAAAAAGGAAAGAAACCACATGCATCCATAAATTATTTTTTATTCCAAATCCAGCTCTTGGTTTACTTTGTACAGGAAACACAGGAAATCCCAAAAGCATTCAGGACTTGCAACATTACACAAAGTCCCAAAACTGAATTCATCACACTGATGCCAAGGTGCCCCTTAGACTCTAAACTTGCATAAACTGGAGAGATGAAAAAAATATTTTTAAAAAATCAGAAGTAGCAAGGAACAAGAATCTCACAGTCTGTTAGAAAAACTTAACCCAGAGCTATATCCTGCCTTAAGATCATGTGTGCCCAAAAGTCTCATGGATTCCTTCAAATTCCAGCTTCCAGACAGACCCAAGGTGGTCCAGATGCTCTTCAAGTCAGAATCCAGACCTCTGCTGTTGTCTAAACTCCCTCAGGATTTACTGGCAAAACCCAAAAACCCAACCAAACCTCCTTCTGCTGCCAAGAAAATTCTGTGCTATTTGAAAAGTTAATCAACCAAACAGTCTTTTCATCTTAGCAATATTAAGCCATAAAGGCTGAATAATGTGTTGGCCATCAACTGTTGACCCTGCACTCAAATTTGCTGAAACTGGTGAATGTTGGCAGGATATTTTGCCCTTGGATGAAGTCCCTGCAGCCTCTCCTCCACACATATGTTCAACCATTTGTTTTAGTGGTAACTTGAAAGAGCAGCTCCTCATTAGCTGCTCCTGTGCAGACTCCAGCACTCACCCACTGCCTTCAGCAGCATCACCTGCACCACAGGAAGTTAAATATAGACAAAGATTTTCACAAACCAATCTTCAAATACCCAGCACTAAAGCCAGCAGTGCAGGATGGCAGCATCACCTCTCAATGATTCTTAAGTAAATAGACCTGAATGTCACTTTGGACCTCAGAACATCAACCTGTCATGGCAGGAGAAAGCAGAGACATGTGACTCCATGCAATTAATAGAATTTAAAATATTTGCCTCTAAAAAACCTGTCAAACTACCAACAATTTTACTTTTTTTTTTTAATTAAAAAGCTTTTTATTAAAAAAAATTATGTGCACAGTTCATAATTAAATGTCTTCTCTCATTTGACTTGGTTTCATTCAAACACAGACATTTTACTGGCTTAAGTTTTATACATTTCTTTTACTTTAAAAATCCCACAAGGTAAAAACCCCAACAGACACATACAAATACAAAGTAAATGGTATTGCTCAAGGGCTTTTTGTTACCCCCCTACCCCTCATATTAAGAAGTGCAATTTTGCTTCTATGGTCCTTTAAAGTGAAACAGTTTTCTCCCTCAGTGAAACAACACTCTCCAGGAAGAATTGCACCACATACACAAAATCCATGAAGGCCTCAGCTCTACCCAACTTCACCTGTGCACTGACTAAGGTCTGAGGGATCTATCTGAAAACTGTGCTTACAGTAACTCATCCCCACCAGCACAGACAGGTCAGTAAATGCACCCACACTGTAAAGCTACTGGGGAAGGGAAGTCAATACCATCTACAATTACAGCAGCGGAATGTTTGTATTTACCAGAATTTTCCTGCTTTTCCATACAAATGTGTGCCTGCCCCAACCCACCTGAACTGTAGGGCTGAACTGCAAGTCCAGCATGGGAATACATTCGACAAAAAGCCATAACTTAACACAGAAATCTAGGGTTTTATCTCACTGAAATTGAGTCTTCTACACATCCTCCTGGCTCTACTTAAGACAAAAGAACTACCTGCGTTTCCCCATTAGAACATCTCAGCTCCAAGGGAATTTCAAAAAATAACTCATCTTTGGTTTAATATTCCCTTCACTGAAAACAGTGAACTGTGCTGCTGGCTTTGGAAAGATTTCATTTAAAAAGTTTTCTGGGTTAACTCTTCAACATTTTGAGGAAACAAGAATATTAAAAATTAGGCTTTTAGTGACTCTAAGAACAAGGTTCATCATCAGTTCCTTTCCTTTCAGCTGTAGCTGAAAGACACTCTATACATGTTATCATTTGTCTGTAAAAAAACTAGAAGGCTATTCCCTTTAGAATCCTCAAAAAAAAAAAAAATCAAGTTTCATTCCAATTTGCTCAAGTTCTCCAATGCAGAGTGCTACTTTTTGTGAAAAAGTATGAAATACCCAGATTACCTGAAATTTTAAGTACTCACTTAGGAAAATATTTACCTGCTCTGAGACAGAAAACTGACTGAACCTGCTGTGCAGACCTCTTGTATTGGAGCATTTATAACTACAAGAGTACAAGTTTATATTGAAATGCAAAATCATAAGACTGTGCTCTCTAATATGAAAATATTTCTAAATTTAAAGCAGAAGCTTGCAGTGTCTGTTGACCCTGGATCTATCCCAGAAAACCTTACATGAAATGGGTGGACATATCTTTGTATAAGGAATATTTCAGAATCTGGAATGTAGAAATACAGTGCAAAATAAACAGAAATAGTCTGAAAAATAGTTTGTACATATCAAAACGTCCCAGATTAGAAAGGAATTATAAAGAC